TCCCACACGGTGCTCCCTTTCCACACCGCATACACCCCACAGCACGCCTGGGCTCTGGCACCCCCGGCACAGCCCAGGCTGAGGGAAGCAAAGAGTCATGGCTGGCTTTGGGGGGGTTCTGGGAAGGGGACAAGGCTGCTGTGCTTCACTGGAACTCCCTGAGTGGGAATGCTGAACCCTCCCATCTCCCCATGCCATGGGGGCTATGATGAACAGAGCTGGGAGCCCTTTGCCCCGCTCAAAGCTCTCACTGCTTCGTCACAAAAGAAAGATAAAACGCCACACAGCCCAGACACCTCAAAACCCAGTTCCACATCCCCGCTTTTCCTCAGCTCCCGCTATCTGCCTGTTTCCTCGCATCCCGGGAGCACAGTGCCATCCGCTGGCGCTGCTCCCCTGCAGGTGCCTCACCAGCACAGCCCGTGCTGCTAAAGCAGAACCATCCCCTCCACCTGTCCCCAGTCCCCTCTGCTGTGCCCTGTGCCAGCACTGCCCCAAGCCCCGGGCTCAGCCTCCCACCAGCTCCCCCAAATCCAGGCACAAGGGAGGGCCAGAGGTGCTTCAGCAACAAACAACTGCCACGGCCATCCCCAGGGATCGGGGATCTCATTTTCCAAAGGGAACGTTCTCCGAAACCTCCATGTTGGAAAGGAGCCTTCATGGTTTGCACACCACAGACAAAGAAAATAACCTGCTGTAGAATAAATCACAGAACCCCAGACTGGTTTGGGTTGGAAAGGCCCTGAAAGCCCATCCAGTTCCATCCCTTGCCACGGGCAGGACACCTTCCACTGTCCCAGGCTGCTCCAAGCCCCAGTGTCCAACCTGGCCAGGGACACTTCCAGGGATCCAGGGGCAGCCACAGCTGCTCTGTGCCAGGGCCTCCTCACCCTCACAGGAGGGGATTTCTTCCCAATATCCCATCTAAATTTCTCCTCTTTTAACTTAAAATAGTTGCCCTTGTCCTATCACTATCTGCCCATGAAAAATGTCATCTCCCTCTATTTTATAAGCCCTTTTAAGTAATGAACTGTAAAATGCCTGGTGTTTTATTGCAAATACAGCAAGAAAATAAAGAATGACAGTCAGGATTTGTATGGATTTCTGTCCTTTCAGGAGAGACTGAAGAGCCAACAATCCTATATCTGAGTCTGCTTCACTGCCCCAGTTGAAAGATGAGGAAGAGCAGGACAGACGGACACCCAGCGCCACTGTACCGCTCAGAGCCCCCCTCCAGACTGTTTGGAGTTACTTTGACTTAGGTATGTTCAATCCCAAGGGCAGTAAAAGACTTCCTGTTACTTTTGAAGAGAATTCTATTCATCCTTCTGGTAACAAAAAAAAGCTAGAAGAAAGCTATGGCTGAGAGTGAGAAGCTGTTGAGGTTTCCTGTTCTTCACACCGAGAATGAGCAGTAAATGAGCGCTGCTGTGAAAGAAAAGCCAGAACAACAATTCCACTCAAAAAAATCTAGAGCTTTCCAAAGCTGGATCTAAAAAGAACAGTATTTCTAATGAAAACAACAAGTAACTTTGAAGCCATGAACCTAAAAAATCCCACTTGAATATAATCAAATAGGACATTTCTGTTGTAATTGTCAAATATTCACATTCAAAAACTTTTTGAGCACAAGACTAAGTCTCAAGCAGCTACCGAGGAACTTCAAACTAAATACAAAATATCTTTGTTTCAGTATTGAAAGAAATCAACAAGAATGGGATTCCAGGATGCCACCTGTGAATTCAGCTTTACTGAAGAACAGGATTTTAAGAATGCTATTTGAGTTTTTGCTAAACAAGGTCAAGTTGTTATACACCACCAACCATGCTTCTGGGAGAAAAACAAACTCTTTTGCCTTTAAAAGAGAAAGATCACAGAATGGTTGGGAGGGACCTTCAAGACCATTCGGTTTCACCCCCTGTCACAGGCAGGGACACCTTCCACTACCCCAGGTTGCTCCAAGCCCCATCCAACCTGGCCTGGAACAATTCCAGTATGGAGCAGCCATGCTGGAGATGCTGCAGTGCTATAGAACAGGGTAAAGCACACCAGATCCTGGGTGTGGTGAACTCCTGCCTGTGTCAACTACCCAGATACACAGATACAGGATATTTTACACACTTGGAATATGAGCCTCAGTGGTAAAGTGACTTCAAAACTTCTCTGAGACCTGAGGCTGGGGCAATCACATGGGACCAGTGAGATTTTCCAAGCCCTCTGGCTGCAGGTGGGCTGGAGATAGCACAGCAGGTCTATGACCAAGGACTAAAATCCCTTTTTTTCTTGCTAAGACAAAGAAAACAAAAAAGAACACAATCATCCCCTTAAATTCTCCAAATTAAAGCCTATTAACCTATTACTTTCAAAGGTCAGCAAAGGAATAGAGGGAGGATTCCCTGGTATTCTGTCCTCAGTCAGCAGAAAAGCTGAGGTTGAGCCCAGGCTGCTCCTGTACACGGGAAGAGCACGTTAAGCTGCAGCATTCACAGCGTGCAGCTGCTGGGATGAAATGGAATTCACATTGAAATGCATCTAAAAAAAAGAACACAGACATTCACAGAGAACTGGCAAGGTAAATTTATTTGAAAGACATGACCCACCTCTTTGTAATTGCCCTGGAGATAAAGATGACTGACATGTTCAAGCAAACAGTTCCGGTCCGCTGTGTGGAGCTGGTAAATGCTAATCAGGGGGTCAAGCAGATTAGCTGGGCACTGGGAGAGCATTCCGAGCACACGGGCCTGCAGCTTCTTCAGCTTGGTGCCAGACTTCAAAAAACAACAAAAAACAATCAAACACAGGTTTGGTAAAGACGGCTGCGATTCAACAGTGGTCGAAAACTCAGCTTGTTTAAACAGAGCAAGCAAATTCCTCTGGAAGGGATTCTCCAATTTCCCCACAGAGTCTGCAGGCAGAAATCAGAACAATATGATACACATTTTTTTCACAGCATCCACTTTAAGAACATAAAATCTTCGTGGGGTAATTCTGGAGAAGGGATAGGGCGTTGTGCAAAAGTAAAATCTGAAATGGGAAAAATGCCCTCTGCTAACGGAGCTCTTCAGAAATTTTCCCCTCTAGTTCCCAGCAGAACATTTCTGAATCCAGCGACTCCCTTCCGGGGAGATCTCACCTATCAGACATAAGAATTCTGTTTTCATTCCCAGGCTTGCTGCTGGGTGCATGAAGGGTAGGGAAAGCACTATCAAAAGATACACAGACACAGGTATTAATCCTTGTGTTCCCATGTGATCATTCACTCGTGACACAGGGATTTCAGTGCCAGTAGCACTTCACTGCACTTTGCTGATCCTGTGATGGCAGAGCTCAACATCTAACCAGAGCCATTTGGAAAAATGGGAAAGGAAGTAACACAAATATAAAAGTATCCTGCTGTTCAGAGCCAAAAGCTTACAGAAAAGAGAAAATCTCAGTAGGTCAGAATATCTGAGGGCAGATGGAATGGTAAACATTAGGACATAAAATCTGATGACCCAACTTTACAGAACTAATCATTCAGCTGCTGAGAAGGCAGGCTGTTCCCATTTTCTGCATTCCCACCATATGGCAGGAATTAAGCAATCCTACAGTAACTGGCTTCTATTTGCAGAGCTGGAAGAACACACAGAGCAGATTTCTGCAACTGGGTTTCTCCTGACAGCAGGGATGTGGGTTCCAGTGGAAGAGCCTCCAGCCTGGAAAGGCTGCAAGAGCACCGCTCGATCAAAGTGGTTTGATCTGGAGAGATGGAAATCCCAACTTTGGAGGGGAAACAACTCTGGCAGCACAGCTCCCAATATGATTTCATTTTCAGGCCAGGCACACCACAGATAACAACATCTCACTGTGAGTTTCACATCTTGTCACACTCTGTATAAGGCTTCAGAGAAAATACTGGACTTTGGAATAAAGTGAAACTAGAGATACTTGAGGAACATTAAAATCAATTACTCTCTCCCAGCTCTCTTGGCTTTCTCTTTTTCTAACCTGTGGGACAGCAGGATGCGTTTTTATCCAAAGCTGCAGCTCCGTGGTGATGCAATACCCCAGGGAATGCCCTTTCCCCTTCCAATCACTGCTGCTTTCCAGCATGGCCAGGAGTCCTGCCAAAGGGTCCTCCAGTCTGGCAAAGCCCCGCCTGATTTCTTCCTTGAGCTGCCGAGATACAAAACCACATTGTCATGTACAAAAAGATTAGTGAATCCTCCCTTCCCCCAGCTGAACACAAAGCTTTATTTTTTAAAATTTAATCTATTCAGAGAGGTAACTGTTGCTATTCAGCCACCATCCGCGCCTCCAGTGACTTTTCATGTCATTACAGATTCCTTCATGGCTCACTGCACCTCAAACCCAATGGGAAAAGCAGCAATTGTCCACACTAATTATCCCATAAAGACAGAGAAGTTGTTCTGTGGGGCAGACAAAGGGGCTTGGGATTTGGGGGAGGGGGAGAAAAGAAGTGAGCTGGAGAGAGGGGTGTTATTGGGAAAATGGCAATATTGAAGGTAGAAAAGTGGGCTCAAAATCTTCTGATCTTCTAAGACACCTACAAGGAGTAGTAGAAGAACTCCTGGCTACACCACAAACCTGCATATTTGATCTTACGCCCACTTCAGCCACAATAGTGCCCCTAATTGGAATATTTGGGAGTCTCAAAATAGTTTGGATTTTACACTCAAAGTGAATGAAATATCTGAGTTCAAATTCTGTCAGATTGTCATCCTCCAAATCTGAGCTCCATCCTCCAAAGCTCCCTGAGCACCTCCTGTCGCCTTGCACACCTCCATGAGCCTAAAGGCCCCACAGTGGGGATCAGAACATGGGAAAACTCCATGCCATAAATCTTAGAAACCCCAGGGAGATGTGTTTAGAAATGTGAAGGAATTGGACCCTCACTTTGTGAATGTTAATAGGCTACTTACTACCCATCTGGTAGAAGTGATAAATTAGCAGTACTGAGCAATATCTCTATAATGTTTACATTAGAAGTAGTTTCCAGGGAGCTGGGAGGGTTGGCAGGGTGAGGAAGTGGCATCCTCAGTACCCACACAGGACCTCTCACTGCATGGTACATCACCAGCGTGGAGAAGGGCGAGAGCAGAGACAGAAAACAAGAAATCACTGAGAGCAGCTGCTCTCTTTATTTTCTGGCTAAAAAGGCAAATCCAAAAGATGCTCATTCCTGCTGCAGCCAGGAATGTACTTGTAATTTACTGGATTTCAAGGCCCCCATTTGGAGCTTCCAGTCAAAACTATAAAGTTTGAAGAACAACATAGAAAAGAAAATATAATCTACAGAAAAACTGCCAATGAATTTTTTCTTTTTTTATTCATCGACAATATTTACTGGAAGACAGTTGTTTTCCAGAGTGTCTTTCATGTCTGGAAAACCCACAGAACCTATGGTTTATGACAGAAACGGTTTCTTTCTCATCAGGCTATCAAAGGCATTATGAAAAAGCTGATGACTAACAGAGATGGGACCTTAGATAAGAGATTTCTCCCTGTAAGTAATTTTCCCTGTGGCAAGAGTTTGCAATGTTAAACACAGGGCTCCAGTTTTGCTGGGAGATGCAGCAGAAGGCAAAGATGAGCTCTGATCCAACCACAAACATCCAATACAACAGCCAAGGGAAAACAAAGCAACTCGCCAACTCCACTGCACTGTTTGGAAATGGCTTTTTCCCCCCCAAAGCTGCACTTCAGCACATTTGGAGCTTCCACCACCCCACTCAGCTCCTCCTTGGGCTGGAATCTGAGCCTGGGCTCTGGCAGGATGGGCTCCTGCCGACATCAGATCCTGCTGGCACAGGCAGAGCAGCTCCCGGCACTGACACCATTGCCAGCAGCACAAAATGTGCTCATCTGCACTGAGTCTGGCCTTCCTACCAGTGAGACTGTGATGAGCTGGGAAAAAGCCTCCTTCCAAACCCAGGAAGCCTTCAGCCATGGCATCTGTAGTCTGAGGGGGAAAGGCAGAGAACAAAAAGGGCACGAGACACCTAAATCAGAGAGGAAAGAGTGCTGTGCTGCTTGGCTCATCCTTCTGCCAGAGGGGGACTCCTCTCAAACTCTTTTTGTAATTGCCATTTCCATTTCAATTGATACCCATGGCAGGGAATGGCCCTTGGGGAATTTCTACAGCCTGACAGATCATGGGAATAGGAAAATGTTGCTGGATGCTCAAACTACACACTCCTTTATTCAGCTTTGGTCCCCTGTTTCTAGTCCCACAGCTCTGGGCAGTCTTCTGATGCTTCCTGGTTATTCCCAAACTGTCATTCCTATGTAGGAAATGACCATTTCTTATACTCATTCCAGAACTGGGGTCATGTCCTGGCAGACACATTCCTGCCCATGGTCACTGATTGGAGACCAATGGGCTGATTTACCCCAGCTCATGGACAGTACTGACCTACAGGCACACACAGCTAGAGGCAGAGAAGCTCCTGCCACTTACCTGGCAGTGGGGCAGGGTGAGATGGATTCAAGTCAACTTATATCAGTTATTGGAGCTGGAAATTTGGGTGGCAACAGCAGCACAACCCACCTGAGCTGCACACAGAGGGCAGAGCAGCCCAGACCCTCAAAACAGAGTCTACATTTTCTGTGGGTGCACAGCCCTGGGCATGGATCAGCCCATGGTGACAGCGTGACGAGCACGAGTCAGAACCCACTGGGACACTCCTGCTGTGTCTCCCCAAAGCAGCTGGGCTCACCATAGCCCTATCCATTGCTCCAGAAAGGCTTTCCTTGGGCACCCTCCAGGCTGAGAAACATCCTCCTGCCAGCCAGGAGGGGGAGACACACCTGCAAACCCCACTGGGGACCCCACTGCAAAGCCCAGGTGCCACTGAGGTGAGCAACATAAGAAAGATGTGGAGATGTAGGAATGAATCTAAAGGAGGTCACTAAGTTGGTCTGAGGGCTGGAGCCCCTCTGCTCTGGAGCCAGGCTGGGAGAGCTGGAGGTGTTCACCTGGACAACAGAAGGCGGCAGGGAGACCTCAGAGTCCCTGCCAGTGCCTAAAGGGGCTCCAGGAGAGCTGGAGAGGGACTGGGGACAAGGGATGGAGGGACAGGACACAGGGAATGGCTCCCACTGCCAGAGGGCAGGGCTGGATGGGATATTGGGCAGGAATTGTTCCCTGGCAGGGTGGGCAGGCCCTGGCACAGGGTGCCCAGAGCAGCTGTGGCTGCCCCTGGATCCCTGGCAGTGTCCCAGGCCAGGTTAGACAGGGTTTGAAGCAGCCTGGGACAGTGGGAGGTGTCCCTGCCCATGGCAGGGGGTGGCACTGGATGAACTTTAAATTCTTTCCCAACCTAAATCAGTCTGGGATTCCATGGCTTGTGGGGATCCTGCAGCTTTTCTGCCCCCAGCAGAATCACTGCAGTGCTCTCTGCCAAAGGACACGTCCATGGGAGGCTTTGTCTTTTCCAGAGTGTTTTTCTTCCCAATCCACATACACATCCCAGGGTACCCAGTACACAGATTTTGATGATTTCTCTTCCCTGCTGTTGTTTTGTGGGATTAACTGCCCTCCAGACCTAAAGGATAATATTTTTTTTTCCTCCAACTCTAACAAAACTTAATGGAAAGCTCAAGGCTTCAGAGTTGCTGAGCTCAAGTCTCCACCAGTGACTGATCATTTGGAAAGGCACCTCTCACACTGGGTTTCCAGTTGTTTATTCCAGCTGGCAACCACAGACTACCAGTAATGGAAAGTCTAAGAGCAGCAGCCCAGGACAGTGACTAAGCACTGCAGACATCCACAATGGAGCCCGTCCACCAGGTCCTTAGCCACGCTGGCCACTCCACACAGGACATGCTCCACATGGTTCTGTGGGAGCTGCAGGGTTCTGTGCCTTCTAGAAGAGGAACCATCTCATTTCTGAACCTGCCTGAGCAGCACAGAGTTAAACATGGAAAACTCACCCCTCAGCTGATGCATCTGCTGGTTTTGTGAGTTTTCAAGCTTCCAAACTTAGATGAAATATATTTTACTGCCTATGAAAAATCTCCGTGTAGAGCCCATAGATTGCTGTATAAAAATACAGCACTTATTTTAGATAGCAGTGTAAATTGCATTCACCACTCTTAAAGGCAAAACCAAACCAAATCAGGAAAATAAAAAGGGCATGTAAATACGAAAGCTGTGATATATCCACTTGACAAAAAGCACTTCTCTACCAAGTTCAACTCTCATTTTTTTCAGCTACTAGCAATATTCTTCCCCCTCCCCCCAAGATCCTCCATTTAATGGACAAAAAGGGTTCTTAAAACGAAACAAAAGCAACTTTGATTTTCTTTCTTTCTGTAACTCAGCCCTGGAAACTCCAGCTCTTTTCTGGGAGCCCCTGAGCTGCTTCTCATCACAAAGCTACCTTTTCTTTTCACTTGTAGCTGCAAATGCAGAGGCTCTTCCCCTGAGTGCTGGAATGAAAGCAGCCGTGAAGGATGGCGGGTCTGACCCGAGCGTCCTGTGCCTGGACATGCTCTGCATCCAGAAAACTGCTGTGTGCAGGGCTCAGCCTTACCTTCCCCAGCTCTTGCTTTGTCCAGAGAAGCTGAAGGGTTTTCAACAGTAGGAGTGGGTCTTGGCCTGAAGGAGGGGGAAGAGAGAGAGAAAAGGAGGGAGAAAAACAAAACAAAACAGATTTATTTGTTCTGTAGAGACAGCCCAGACACACTGGGGCATTGTTTCACCCCAGAGAAATCAGCTACTTCATGCTGGAAACCACCAAGCTCCAACTGCCAGTCAGGATTAGTGTGTAAAACCCTGCACTCTGAAATCCAAACAAAATCACAGCCAGCAGCCAGGCACGGCTTTAACTCAGCACCCTGTGGGCTCCTGCATCCAAAGCTGTGCTGCTGCAGCTCCAGCCCAGTCCTGCTGCTGCTCCATGCCCTGCCCACTCCCACCCTTCCCACTGGAAACCAGAGGCTCCTGGAAGAGCCAGCACCTTGCACAGGTCAAGAGGGATGATCAGCACAGGAGTTTTTTATGCACGGCTCTGCAGTGGAAGCTCTTGGCCAGCTGGGGATGGAGGAGGGAGAGGGGGACTTTGGGCCAGAACAGGGACCTGGATGTGCTCAGGGGTGCTGCCCTGCCAGGCTGGACAGCAATGGGGCTGCAGTGGGACTCAGGCTAGAGGGTGCCTGAGGAAGAGGGAAGATGAAAGGCTGCTGTGATGAGTGGCAAGGTTAACCAAAGAGGGATCAAATATTTCAAAATAAGGTTATTTGGAATTTTCCTCTTACTTTTCACCTAGTTATTGCAGAACTTGCATTCAGTTGTTCTTTTGTGTGTTATCATTCCTCATACAGTCATTCATCATACCGTTATTCATCATAACAATATTCATCACACCAGTACTTCTAAAGCAATTGTTTAGGAATATTTCATTTTAAAAGCAGCAACATGTTTGATATCTGATTCTACTTAATTCACAGTCATTTACTTACGAAACCACAACACAAAATATTCTGAATGAAAATCATCTGCAGCATCAACAGTTTAAATGTGAATAATGAATTTAAAAATCTGAATGAACTCTCCAAAACCACTCCTTCTAATGCACCTCCTCTTATGTTTTCATACAGCCAAAAGAAAAATGTTAAACTGAAAAGGAAACTTCCTTTTAATCACCTTCTTTGTTTTACAATTCCTAAAGAGCTCATTTCCAAATGCTAGATTTCATGCTCAGCATCCCATCACACTTCATATTTCAGGTCACAAAAAACTCCTTCAGCTGTGAAAGGCTCTACCTCATCCAGCTGAACTCTGAGGCATCACATTCATAAAATATTTGAAGTAGCAAGCTGATTACTGGTTGAGCCAAGAGCATGATAATATTCCAATTATCCACAACCTCTGGGAAACACCAGCTAAATTAAAAATGCCACATTTACAATTCACAAGATAATATTTTCTCTCATCTCCGGTTGTTCTGAAATGTTGAACTCTCCAAACACTGGCTGTTCGCAGCTACTGCTCCTCCTTTGGAAAAAGAAAAGGCTCTTTTTACACCAAAACAGAAGAAAAGCCAGATCCCTTCTCCTCAGTAAATTAGCAAATTACAGTCAAATTCAGTCCATGTGTGTATGCATATCTGCACACTCTACTCTTGGCCTGACTCCCAAAGAAATTTATACACACACAGGGAAAAAAAAAAGAGAATGCAACGCAGTGTGTAACCAAATACACTGTAAATCTGAGCTGTAATTAATGCAGGGAACAGGCTGGAATGATACAGGAAATGAGAGCAGTTAGGAAAGCAATGTTTCCCTTCAGATGCAACCAATAATTCAACTTGTTAAAGCTTTCAAAACCTCAATCAACAAACCCAACCCTTTTCTTACTGACTGTTTCCTACCTTACCTCCCTGCCACTGAAACCCGAGCTGATACAACCAGAGGAAAACATCTCTGCAGTCAGTTTTAACCAGGTCAGTGGTGCCAGCGTGGCATGGAGCAGCCACAGGTACACAGGGACACTTTCCTGGCCACAGAGCCGGGCTCTGAACACACCCAGAGCTGGGTTATTTCCACAGAGCACCCTTGGAGCATGGCATCCACTCTGGGCTCCTCAGCACAGGAGAGACATGGACCTGGTGGACAGACTCCAGGGGAGAAGGCTCCAGTGAGACCTGAGAGCCCCTTGCAGTGCCCAGAGGGACTCCAGGAGAGCTGGAGAGGGCCTTGGGACAAGGGCTTGGAGGGACAGGACAAGGGAGAATGGCTTCACAATGACAGAGGGCAGGGACTGAGCAAGAAGAGAAATCGAGAATTCTGCCGGTGTCTGCACAGGGCTGTCCCCTTCTTCACCTGGTGAGGCCTCTGGGAATCTAAGGATGCAGCACAGTCAGGGGCTAAACATAAAATAACACACAAGCAGTTGCTCCCAGAGCCAGACATAAACAGGAGAGCAAAGCCACCTTGTGCCCTTGTCTCATCCCACCAGAAGGAGGACACTGCAGCTTGGGCTGGACCTGGAGCTATTGCATCCAGTTACTCTCCAGATGAGACAGAAGATGGAAACGTGAAGGTTCACATCATTTGGTTCCTGAAAGAAATGAACAATTCATCTGCTCTGTCTCCTTTAGGACCTCTTTGGAGGACTGTCCTCCTCACAGTTCTCTGGAACCCCTAAAAAGTGAGAAACTTTGACATGGATAATTCATCAATAACTACTGCTACATCAATAACATCAATAACTACTGGCAGGATACCACACAGGTACCTGCCCATCCAAATCTGAGGAGGAACAACAGATGCAGCAATAAACTAATGCCAGGACATCCAAGGAAAAACAACAGGACCATACAGGCAGTTTCATAAGCCTTCAAGAAAAACCTGGAGAGCAAGTGGCTGCTCCACACAGCAGGGAGCGAGGGAGAAGTACAAGGGAAGGAGGGATAAAGGGAAGTGACTGAAAAGCAAGTGGTCAGGACTGAACCACGAGTGCATCTGGCCTCAGCTCTGGACGAGAACAAGGCAAGGATGGGGCATGGTGGCCAGAAAAACCCCATCATTCCCACCCAGCGCCACTGGTAAAGATAACTTCAGTCCTGCAGAGTCCTACATCCTGAAGAGCCATTAGGAAGGGGCATTCAATGAGCAAAATAAAAACAAGGGTGAAAAACAGTAAAAAACCCCAGTGTGGAAAGTCAGAGAACACCAGGTCTCCCTGCTCCAGATGTGAGCAGCTGAGAAGGATTAGGAGACATGTCCAGGCAGCTGAGCCCACCCAGTGCCTAGACAGAGCACAAGAGAAAAGTGCTCAGTCTGACACTGACCCTTCACAGCTCCAAAAAAGGGGGTACACATTAAAACAGCTGGAAAAGCCTCGCCAAATCAAGGTTAGAGCATGTTGGTGGAGATCGCAAAAAGACACATCTACACCCAAGCCAACAAGACACAAAAGACCTCAAGTTTTGGCACAGACAGCTTCTCCAAATAGCATGTTCCTGTTTTATATATTTTACATTACTCTATTTCCTTTGAACGTTTTTCATTCTGAAAATTTATGAGTTCTGCCCTGAACCTGAACCAAAATTGCAGGAGATGGTAAATCAAGTGTCTTCCAGTTCTCAAGATCTGTGGTTACATTTCAAAACCATATAAACCACAAGGCTTATATTTTTGAGTTAGAAAAGTGCCCTTGAGGAAAGCCATAAACTACTTTCTGTTCATTCTCTCAATTTCCTTTATGCATCCTTTACTCAAACTCTGCTATGATTACAACAAAAGCAGTGCCCAGGGGCTGGTGAGGTAAGCACTGGATTTGCTGGTAAGGTTTGCAGTGGTGTCCTTGCAAAATTCTGCTGCATTATTCACCAGTGCAGCTTAAACTCCCTGGCAAGAGGCATTTGACTGAGCCTCCTTGTGTCTCTCGCCTGAAGAAAGGGTGACATCCAACCCCAGAGGAGGAATTTCCCAAGGAAAAACCTCCTGACACTTTCTCTTTGGGCCCAAAGCCATTAAATGCCTTGTGACCTGGAAGAATTACAGTCAGCAGAAGAAAAGATACTGAATGAAAAAAAACAACCCCAAAGAAGGTGGGAAAAATGAGTGAAATGCAGGGTCACAGCTGATCACAGCTGAAAGTCATGGACAGGAAAAGTCAAGAACAAAATGTTAATTATGAATCACCAATTTATGGAATCACAGAATCCCCTGAGCTGGAGGGACCCACCAGGATCACCCAGTGCAGGTCCTGTCCCTGCCCAGACCCCCCAACAATCCCAGCCTGTCCATCCCTGGCAGCGCTGTCCAAACGCTCCTGGAGCTCTGGCAGCCTCGGGGCCGTGCCCATTCCCTGGGGAGCCTGGGCAGTGCCCAGCACCCTCTGGGGGAAGAACCTTGCCCTGAGCTCCAGCCTGAGCCTGCCCTGGCCCAGCTCCAGCCGTTCCCTGGCTCCTGCCCCTGTCACAGCCAGCAGAAATCAGAGCTGTCTCTCTGCTGCCCTACAATGATTATGTTTTCTTTAGGCAGCCAGCTTGTCCCTCTGCCCTGCAAGTTAAAAGAATTTTAATAAATGTTTAATGGAATATCCAACAAATTCAACCCACACAGTAAACAAACAGTAAATTTTTACTATTACTTATTGTTTAGTGTGCCTTCTGCCTCAATAAACCCCTGGAATCTGTTCTCAGTGAAAACTCCTGCTTATTTCAACATGTCTTTGAGATGTATTTCTGAAAGGAAAATTAAAATTCAAGGTATTCCCATGTCCCACTTAGGGCAGGTGGTCCGTTTGGGCTTTAAAACTCCAATACCTCAATGAAGACAATGCATGAGCTGGAGGTTTGGGTGAGCAGAGCATTCATCCTGCTCCTGCTCCAGCAGCATGAGGGGCACACCCTCTCTGGGTCAATTAAATTGCAGCTGAGGACAAACAAATTGTGTGTAACGGATGAATTAATCAAAGTCTCTTATCCAAACCTAGTTTGTCCCAGTTTTGTTCAGAAGTGGCTACAGCTCACCAAGTGTGTGCTACTTTTACAGAGGAACAGGCACAGAAATAATATCACTTAGATGGAACAAAAATGAATGGATACATTTTCTAGTGCCCAAATCTGAATCTCTGAGGACAAGCTG